CTCCATATATATTAAGAGAAATTCACCCTTCTGTCCCTGTTTTCAGACTAATATTATTAACATCAACAGTGTGATTTTCTAGTTTGTCATTGTATTTTTTAGAAAATCATTGTTCAATGGAAATGTAATGTGAACCGCATAGATTAATTTTAATTTATTAGTAATCATATTAAAAACACTAAAATGAAAGTTAAAATTGATATTATTTATTTTAACTTTTATTTAACCCCCGTATGCAAAAGTATTATTTTGTCATGAAATCCAGCATACAAAATTAAGATATTTCACAGTGTTTTTTGTATTAGGCCTTTGAAATATAGAATACATTCTACAGTCACAGCACATTTTGACTTGGACTAGCCATATTTCAAGTGCCCAACAACAGAATGTGACTGTTGGCTACCATTTTGGACAGCTGCTCTACACTGAAAAAGAAGAACTACAATATAACAACTGTGTCAGTTAGAAAATATCCTGTGTTCTAATTGGCAATATGAAAAACTTAGTAATTGTTTTTGTCATTGATCTTCATTCTTTTTTTTAAATCAATCTTTATTCATTTAAGAAACATTTTACTGAGTATCTCCTATGCATTAGAGATTAAATGCTGGGAGTAGATTGCCCTTAAAGAGTTCATAGTCAAGTGAATGAAAATGATCTATAAACTTATAACTATAACTATTGTGATAAGTGCTGATGAGGTTGTATACAATAAGATGTGAAAACAAAGAAATAGTGGTGTTGTTTTGGGTGAAGGGTATAGAAATAGTTCACAAATTCAGGACATAGGAGTGGGGTCTTAAGGAAAGGGGTTGGGGTGTTATTCGATAGAAAACAATAGGACAATGTTGTTTTAGTGAAAAAATACATAGTCACAAAGATGTAATCATAAGCAGTGTTTTTGGAAAACTGTTAGGGTTTAAAATTTGTTTGAGTTAAAAGCAGGAAATGAAAAAAACTGTATAGAGGCAAGATTATACATCAAAGTATGCTAAAATGTTTGAACTTCATGATGGAAGCCTAGTAAATGAGTTTACAGTGAGGAATACACAATTAGCATCTTGGAAAATATCACTTTAATGGTAGTGCATCAGGTGACCTGAAGGCAGAAGAGGTTGCACAATAACTAAATGCTTACATTAATAAACAGTTAATACTGAAGATTTCAGTTGTGACAGAGGAAATGGGAAGAAATGGAAATTCATGACTGAAATTCTGGAATTAGTAGAGCTCAGACCAGTTCATGTGGCAGAATATCCATTGTAGTTGGTAAGTGGGCATAGGAAAAGGACATTTATAAAACGAAAAGAAATTGTATGTGGATGGCATAAAGGTTTATGTGATTTATTAAGTTAGATTTTATAATTAGTCAGATCTTTTCAGGGACCTGTTAAGGCAGTTCTCAGGTAGAAGAAACACCTTGTTGCTCCGCTGGTGTACAGCACTTAAGTAAAATGACACCTGGTGAATGAAATTTGGTGATTTTCTAAATATTCTTCTATTTATCTATGACTTATAAAATCATATCTAATGCCTTATTACTTGGTTTACAAAATAGTTAGTGTGAGAATACAGATGAATAATTTAATCTTTCTGGACCAGGAGCAGTAATCAGTAACATGTTTTTTAAAACATCTTAGTTGGAAAAGTATCAGAATATGCCAATCTAAAATACTCACTGGTTTCCAAGCAATATTAGCAAAGAATGATAACTAGAAAAACAGCCAAATTTTTTTAAATTTATGGAGATGATGAAATTACTAGAATTTTTAACTGGAGGAAAAAAGGTTAACTTTAAAGGAACAACAATAAAACTAGCTTTCAAATGTATTACAAGTCTAAATGCTAGAACACAAAGGATCAACATGAAGACTGAGCAAGAAAAAATAATTTTATACCTAGCCAGGTTTTATGCAAGATATGCAAATACCGTCTTGCAAGAGTTCAATAAATATACCCTTTAATGACCTTCTTAAAAATTGTTCTAGCTACTAAAACACTGAATATTGAAATAAGTTAGTGACTTATTTCTGAATAAAAACAAAATTTTATATAATATAATAATTTTGAAAACAAATGTAAAATTGGGTCTGTGATACCAAATAATAATAAGTGGTAATAAATAATGACAATTATTATTAATTTATTATTATTATTTAGGTACTAGGAATTTAACCTAGGGATACTTTAACACTGAGCTACATCCTTAGCTCTTTTTAATTTTTATTTAGAGATAGCATCTTTGCTTAGGGTCTTACTATAAGTTGCTGGGGTGACCTTGAACTTTTGATCTTCTGTCTCCACTTCCTGAGTCTTTGGAATTATAGACATGTGCCACTCACAGTGCCTGGGCTTATGAGTCCAAATTATACCAGTCTGACACTTCCATTAGAGCTTTGTAATTTTTTTAAAACTTTTATTTATACCTTTCTTTTTTCTTATTTTTTTCTCCTACCTCAATATTCAAGTTTTCCTTCTACATTCCTTTCCAGTCCTTACATCTTATCTACCACTAATCACTTCTTGGTTCTGAAAATTGAGCTTCCTCTTGGACATTCAGGGTCCACTGAACCATCATTTCCTCAGAAGGAAGGAAAGTGATGATCCTAGGATCTTAAATTAAGACAAGATTATATGTTTTACCAACAGATTATAGACATATTTATAAAAGCCATATAGTACAGCTAACATTTCCTAACAATGGGAAAACAATGAAGTCTCAATAAGTAGTGCTTGCAGGTACATAGTTATGTCAGAACTCATTATGTACTTAAATTTATGCATTTCCTTGTAGGTCTATTAAAACTCAAAACTATTTTAGTTTTTAAGTCTCTTCACTTGTTGTAGGTTTATTCATATTGTCTATTTCTTTTTAAGTCAATTTTAATAATTTTGTCTTTCTACGCATTTATTCATCTCCTCTAAGGCATCTCATTTGTTGACATGCAGTTGTTCATAGATTTCTTTACAGTTCTTTATCTGATCCTATGATTTGAGTTTTCTGCCTCTTTTTTTGGTCAGTGTAGCTAAAGGTTTTTTATTTCTTTTATTTTATTTCAAAGTAGTTCCTGATTTATCTTTTTCTTCTTCCTGTTTTTTTGTTTGTTTGTTTGTTTGTTTTTCTTTTTGTGGTATTGTATTGGCCCAGGGTACTTTACCACTGAACTACTTTCCAGATCATTTTTTTTTTTTTTAGTTGTAGTACTTTTATTGTATTTATTTTTATGTGGTGCTGAGAATCGAACCCAGTGCCTTGCACATGCTAGGTGAGCGCTCTACTGCTGAGCCACAACCCTAGCCCCTTCCCAACCCTTTTTATTTTTTGACAGGCCCTAACTTGCAGAGGCTGTCCTTAAATTTAGAGTCCTCCTGACTCAGCCTCTCAAGTTTCCAGGATTACTAACATATGTTATAGCACCTAGTATGATTTTTCTTTTGATGTTTGTCTTTAGCCCATTGTTTATTTAGCAATATGTTGTTTACTTTTCACATATTTTTTAGAATCTCTATTATTTTTCCTGCTAATGATTTCTAATTTCATTCTGTTTTGGTTGAAGAACTTATTTTGTGTATGTTTATCTTTTAAATTTGATTGAGATTTATTTTATGGCCTAATATACAGTTCGTCCTGAAAATGTTTTGCATGTACTTGGGAAAATTATATTCTGTTTCTGTTAGGTGAAATGTTCTCTAAATGTTTGTTGGCTCTAAGTTGTTTTAAGTTGTTCAAATTTTGTTTCTTTGTTCATCTCCTGTTTGGTTGTCTATACACTATTGTAAGTAAGATGGTTGAGGTTTCCAACTATTATTATTATGTCTATTTTCCCTCTTCTTTTTTAGGCATTTAATTTTCATATATTTTGATGCCATTATTTTTGGTGCATATTTGTTCATAATTGTTATATCTTTCTGGTATCTTGGCCCTTGGCAAAATATTCTCTTAGATTGTTGATGGAAGTATAAACAGGCACATTTCTGGAATACAGTTTTACCCAGATATCCTTTTTCTAGGAATTTATCCCAAGGAAATAATCATTAATTTATTTGCTCATTGAATGTTTATTGAGTACCCACTATATGTCAAAGGGTTTGTGCCACTAGAGACACAACAGGGAAAATATACACTAAAAATTTTTGCTTACCCAGAATTTACATTCTGGTTTGTTAGACAAACTACAACAACAAAAATAAATAAAAATAAAGGAGTGAAATATAAAGTATTTTAGAATAAGTGTTATAGAGGAAAAAATAAAAGTATGAAAGCAAATAAGAAGTGTTTGGGTAGGAGTATGTGTCAGAGATTCCCAAGGCAACTCCCATGTTTGGTGATTTGCCAAAAGTATAATAGTGTTGAGAGTAATTATTACTAAAAAAAGGGATAAAATATATTTTTGTTTTATTTCTTTATTTTTTTGAGTTTTCTGTTGTTTCTACAATGAATATCTAGAAATAGATAACTAAAATCTCAAACATTTTGCAAATATCAAAAATCAAAATCAAAATTATTTTACAAAATTAGTTATTGACATTTTATAGAGCTTTGTGTGTTTTAGTAGCTTTTATACATTATAATGAATGGATTTTACTTAGGAGGATGAATATAAATGAATTTGTTAAAATAGGATTTAATTTTATAGCCTGTTACACCTGGATAAAAATGTGATATAGATTCATTTTTTTAAAAATTTTGTATTCATTTAGCAAACTGAAGTTCTCTTTTGCTTATCTATAATGAAGAACATTGAGAAGACTATCATTTTTTCATAGTAGAGTTTTATTACATAAATGTTATTTTACTTATTTTCAGCAGTGAATTTCAAACTGAATTTTGCCTGGTCATTTAAAAGTATCGTATTTTATATTAAATATATCTTTCAAAATCATTTTGAAATGTTTCATGGTGAATTTCATTACATTTCACTTTCATTTCATAAGTTGTCAATGCAAGAATTTAGAGTAATGTAGAATTTTAGAATTAAATGTAGGAAAATATATTTTAGGAAAACAGTTAAAGGACGGGAAGAAACCAGAACCATGCAAACCTATCCTCAAGGTGGAGTTCAAAACGACGAGATCTGGGTAAGATTTTACTTCATTACTAATATTCATTGTATCACTTAAATACCATAAAAGTCTATTTTGTCATTATTTTCAAAAGCTTTTTTGGAAGGGTCTAGCCCAGTCTTAGATTTTTATACCTTCTTTATTTAATAAAAGAATTAAAATTAATGACTGTAGGATAATATTCTTTGTGTTCTATATTTAGTAGTCTTACCATGTATCTTAGAAAATTTGAATTACTTTTCTTGTCCAATGTCATATATTCTCTTACATTATTCTTTGGAATAGTATTGTTTATTTGCCAGTAAAAATTGTGAAATAAGCAATGTGTAAAAAATACTCAAAATTTAATCTGTCTGTATTGTGTTAATTATGAAAGTTATATAGTCTTCAGAAATTAAATCTAATAAGAATATTTGACAATTATGAAAATAAAGAGTTTAATATTAAAGGAAGTTTATCAGTTATATTTGTTGACACTATATGAGTTTGATATGAGAAGTAGGTGATTTTTACAATTTAAATACACAGAAATCTGTATCAAATATTATATTTAAAAATATAAAGGAAAAAAAATCTTCTAAAATCTATAGAATTCTATATCTTTAACTCCCAGAGGAATACTTTCATTTATGTTCTAGTGTGGTTTTATTTACTATATCTGTATAAGAGAGTAAATTTATTTATTATACTATAGGGGTTCTCAAGTTATGGTCCCTGGACCAAGAGCATTAGCTGAGAAATTGTTAGAAATGCATATTTTCAGATTTCACACCTCTCCCCAACCTACTGAACAGAAACTGGAGCATGGAGGCAGGGGCAGCAATCCCTTTTAACTAGAGTTCTACTGCAGGACAACCTAGTGCCATTAACGTTTAGAACTGCTGGTGTATCTGGTGTATTTTTGGTTTATCCGTTTATAAAAACTGGTATTAGAATTGTCACATTCCTTTTTTTAATCTTTCCCCTTACTCTAATTCAACTTTGTTCTCTTCTCTTTTGAGAAAAGGACCTAGGCTAAACACACACACACATACACAGGGAAGATTGGGATTATGTTTTCGTTCATCCTCTCTAGCTATCCCCTGAGATCCAACATATATTCTATGTTCAGACAATAGATTGAATGAACTCTAAGAGACTTAGCACCTATTTAATTGCCTTTGGCATCTCTATTATGTGACATTTGGTATAGAATTATTTGTCTTCTTTGGCTTCAGTTTCCTCATTTATATCATACATGTATAATAGGTTTGTTGGTCAAAAGATGGTTGTGATGAATTAAATGAGATACCTATGTATGTAAAACATTTCATATATTGCCTGATATACAATAAACTCTTTAAATAGTTGAGAAACCACTTTTTATTAGGATACTTTCTGCCACCAGTTTATTTTTATTTGTCACGTGTATCTTACGACAAACAAAATATGAAAAGCATGGTAATAAAAAATAAATAAAAAGAAGAGGAAGGAGGAGGCAAACCATAAAAAATCTATATTTGTGATGCATCAGAAAAACTAACAGTGTTTATTGTCTTCTGAATTCTTATTCATTCATTTTAACAAATATTGATTGACAGCAAAGATTTTTCCCTCTCTGCTCTACCTGTTCCAATCTCATTTCTGTATATTTACAAATTCTAGGTTTCTTCGGATGGCAGCAATCCTTTTCCTTTTATGGGATTAGAAGTGAAATTTTTTGAAAATGTTTTGTAGGCATTTGTACATATTAGATTAATGGGTTCACCCTCTTGTAATATCTTCTCCACTTTCTCAAGTTCTTTTTTTCACCTGGGATAAGAAATACAGTAAATTAAATTGTTTCTTCTTTTCTTTTACTACATCACCTTTTTCCTTGAAATAGTTTTCCAGATTCTAATGTTGAAATTGCAACTACTCTTTCTCAGCTAAAGCAGGATTACCCTTCATTAAGCCAGCTAGGCATCACTCTCACCTTTTTCTCCTATTCCTAGCAAGTGTCTTAGGCAAATGCTAACAAAATGTGTTCTATCAGTTTCTGTTGGCAAGTTACCAAATTTTATAAACTAGCCATCCTTAACACCTCACTTCCACATTTTCTTCTGTTTGCCTAGAAATCATTCTAGTAGGACGGGTTCTGTCTCCTCCTTTATAGCTCAGCATAAATGTTATTACCTTAAGGATATTTTGACCTCACTGCTAGACTAGGTCCTTTAGTATTGCATGCCTATCAAAGCATGCAATATTTTCTTTTCTAGAGCTTATACATATCATTAATAATGAAGTTATTTTTTGAGTATATGTCTGCCTCATTATAAATTGAGTTTGATAAAACTATAAGACTTACCCATCATCTCACCTCTAGTTGTCTAGGTTCTAACATAACATTGCCAAATTGGAAGAATTAGAATGTTAATTTAGGTAGGTTTATATAAAGTGTAGTGGTGATGAGTTAGTTGTAAATGATAAATGCATTGAACTCTAGACAGTGGTGAACTGTGACAAAAATAGAATCAAGATGTTATATAGCTTTTATTTTCTAATGAAGTCATTCAATAAAATATGCATTAGATCTAGAGAGACTAGATTTTCCCTTACATAGGGAATAGTGACAATATAATTAACAATGAGTTTAAAAGAAGTTTTATTTATGATATGGAACTAATTCTTTATGTGGCCAGGTCTTAACAAAAAATCAAATGTTAAGTCAATTCTGTTGAAGTCATTTCTTTGAGAAAGCAATGTGGCCTAAGTGTAGAATGCCTTGGTGAATAACCATCCATCAGCAGAGCTATGGAAAGTATGCTTTCTGAAGCCAGATCACCTGAGTCTGAGTACTGCCTCACTGTTCACATAGTGTGCAATATGGTACAAACCAACTTAAGCTTTCTGTGGCTGTTTCTGGAAAGTGGTAATAATAATACTAACCAACTCCTAGAATTGTCATGAAGTTTAGATAAAGGTATAAAACCGTCATAACATGCTCTTTACACATTAGTTGTCTCATGTATCAGATGTTTCAAAACAGCATTTGATTACCTCTGACAAACATCTGAAATGCAGTTATTCTTTTATTTTGCTGACAAAAACAGAGGTACAAGTGCCAAGGTTGACTAGACTTCATAATAACTACAGAAATATATTATTCCCTAGATTGAGAACCATCTTAACTGAAAAACACTGATTTACTGCAGTGATTTACCAAAACAAAACAAAAAAAAAAAAAAAAAAAAAAAAAACAGACATCAGATAATGGTGATCCATTAGTGTGTTGTGAGAATAATTTCATTGGTTATGACCATGAGTTTTTAATTGAGACAGTAAAATAAGAAGTAACAGTGTACTGCACATCAAGGGTAATTGTTCATGAAATTTTTGTGCAATTTTTATATCTGTATACTGGATTGTGAAATAAACTTCACTTCTTATTATAGGTCATAATGAAAATATTTGAAAGCCATGATTTACTAGAAATAATTGAGGTTTTGATATTTATTTTTATTTGTTCTTTTTAGCTATACATGACAGTAGAATCTATTTTGATATATTCTTTTTCTTTTTTTTTTTTTTTCATTTATAGACAGACACAATGCCTTTATTTTATTTGTTTGTTTTTATTTGGTGCCAAGGATCGAATCCAGTGCCTCACACTGCAAGGCAAATACTCCACCAACTGAGCTACAACCACAGCCCCTATTTTGATATATTTATATAAGCATGGAATGTATCTTATTCTAATTAAGATACCAGTCTTTGGATTTACAGGATGTTGAGATACACTGTGGTGTATTCATATGTGTAAGGAAGGACCTTATATATTACAGATAACACCTCAATAGGAAAGTTATGTCACATTCATTCCACTCTCTTTCCTATTCCTATCCTCCCCTTCCTTCCCTCTACTCCCCTTTGTCCAATCCATTGAATTTCCATTCTTCCTTTCATCCCTTGTTGTGGGCTACTAGCCACATATTGGAGAGAACTTTTGATCTTTGGTGTTTGGAACTGGCTTATTTCACTTAGCATGAGAGTCTCCGGATCCATTCAGTTATTGGTGAATGTCATAAAGTCATATTTTATGGCTGAGTAATATTCCATTGTGTATATATACCACAATTTCTTTGTCCATTCATCTGTTGATGCGCATCTAGGTTAGTTTCATAGCTTAGCTATTATGGATTGTGCTGCTACAAAGATTGATATAGTTGCATCACTGCAGTTTTCTGATTTTAACTCCTTTGGATGTATATTGCAGAGTAGGATAACTGGTGGTTCCATTTCTCATGTTTTGAGGAATCTCCTTACTGCTTTCCAGACTGCCCTAATTTGCAGTCCCACGAACAGTGTATGAGTGCACCCTTTTCCCCACCTCCTCACCAACATTTCATTGCTTGTATTCCTGATAATTGCCATTCTGACTGGAGTGAGATGAAATCTCACTGTAGTTTTAATTTGCATTTCTCTAATTGATAAAAGATATTGAACATTTTTTCATATATTTGTTGACCTTTCATAGTTCTTCTTTTGAGGAGTGTTGTTTAATTACGTTGCCCATTTATTTATTGGGTTATTGGACTGTCAGACTTGATTCAAATCCAGTTCTGTCACTTATTAACTGTATTATCTTTAGCAAGTTGCTTTACTTCAGTGAACCTTTTTCTTTATGTGCACAGGAGTAAAAGAAATAATGTGTTTGGAACATGATAGGTATTTGATGAATTCTAATTCCTTCCCTTTCTTACCTCTTCGCTTTGTTTTCACTAGTGGACTACATAAGATATTGTAGACAGGGCCACATTTTGAACAAGAAGCAAGTTGGTGGGTTCATATTGTCAAATGGATATTCAGATGAACTCCTCAGAGTTTTGTGCTACAGAGCATTAGAAGAGTTAGTTTCTCTTCAGATAGGACCTCCATTCAATCACTACCTTTAGGGAAAGCATCTTTGTCATAGAACCTTAAAGCTAATGTTATCACAGTTAAATATAACAATTTAGTCACTTGGAAAATCACACTGAAGAAATTAACTTGCTCCC